GTACCTGCTTCCCACTTGGATAAGTCTCTACGTCACAGCCCCTCCCCCACAGCAGAATCACTGCCTGGACTTGCCACGATTTGGGCCAGGTCGTTGCACCTGGATGTTGAGGCATCCTTCTCTCGTGATGTTTGCTGAGGAAGAACCACACGGAAGATGCGAGCGGATGCGTTTTGAAATGCGGGAGACACTAGTGGGACACAGGAGGTGACGTCCTTCCATCAGGGCCCTGCCTCTGTGCGCCCTTGGACAGGACCTCAACTCTGCAGGTGGATCTTTTCGCTAGCTCAGTTGGTCAGTGCCGAGCCCTGTGTTGCCAACAGGAGAAATAAGACCCACCGTTCGCCACCCCCCTTCGGGGTAAGAATTCATGAAGCTGCCCGTGCCCATTTATGAAGTGGCTCCAGCTAAAATATCCCGGATGGCCATTTTAGTGACCTTGTAGTTTAAGCGACAACCTTCCGGTCAGTCAGGTAGGCGGTGTTAGAAACTCGTTTGCTTTCCCATAGGACTCGATATGGCTGTTTCCATTTTCACTGCTCACTGTGAGTTCTTTTTTTACCCCCCACAGGGGAATTCTACTAGCCTTTATCTATTTTTATTATTATATTTTTTATTTTAATTTTTTTTTGAGTTGGAGTCTCACTCTGTTGCCTGGCTGGAGTGCAGTGGCACGCTCACGGCCACCGCAGCCTCGACCTCACTGTGAGTTCTGTGCCTGAACCCGCGGTGGTGTGGGAAAATCCCCCTGACCCCCGCCTCGTTCAAGGCTTCACCTGAAATCATTCCTGGCACGAAGCTGTTGCTCTTAGAGAAGCGTTGGTTCGGGGAGGAAGGGCTCCTGGCACCTCTTTCCACTGCTCTCGTCTGTGATTCTTTATCGAGAGACAAATCCCAGGCTGGTGCGGTGGGGGTTCTCTCGGAGGTGGCTTTCTTCCAGTCTGGCCGAGACGTGAATGTCCTTTCTCCCGATGTCAGCAAGCGGGCCTCAAACCCGCACGTTGTTCTCAGCCACAGATGCTTTAGGTGACGAGCCCTCACTCACAGTGGGGCAGCAGTTCCGAGACACCACTTACACTGCTTTAAAAATACGCACGGCACCTCTGTCTCGGCAGATCCCCGTTTCCTACTGGTTGGGGACGGTCAGCGCGTGTGAGTCACATGCACGTGGTGTTCTGGTTAAAAAGCGGGCCGGGCTCGGTGGCTCAGCCTGTCATCCCAGCGCTTTGGAAAGCCGAGGCAAGTGGATTGCCTGAGCCCATGGGTTCGAGACCTGCCTGGGCAACTTGGCGAGACCTCGTCTCTACAATAAATCAAAAAATTAGCCAGGCACGGTGGGACACGCCTGTGGTTCTGGCTCCTTGGAAGGCTGAGGCGGAAGGATCGACGGAGCCCAGCAGGTCGACTCCGGTGGCCGTGAGCGTGCCACTGCACTCCAGCCTGGCTATGGAGTGAGACTCCCACTAAAAAAAAAAAAAAAAAAAAAAGCGGCGTGTGCCGCACCTGGAGTGTGAGGACTTTAACTCGTTAAATTGAAATAAGCATGTGCTACCAGGCAACGCAGAAAGCAGCTTCCAGCTGTGCCCCTGGCCAGCGGCCGGGCTTTGCAGGTGTGTGACCACAGCAGACTGAGGAGAGCCCGGCTGAGGGAGCAGGAGTGGGGTGAAGATTCCGGGAGGTGGGCAGTTTGGGGCCCCAGCTCCTGCCACCCCCCTCCTTCCCTTCCACACACGCGCCCTCTCTCTTTCCTCATGGCTGCAGGGAGCTGGTTGCCAACTTTGCACACCCATGGGTGCCCCCGGCCCAGTGTGGGCCCGCCCTCAGGCTCACACCTGTCCTCTCCTCGCTGATCACTGAGCCACCACCCTGCCCCATCAGTGCCCCCCAGGGGCTGAATCTGCCCGTGAGGAAGGAGCAGCAGACCTTTGCGTTCAGGCCAGGACGTGCTGTGGGGAGGACAGATGGTTCTAGGCAGCAGCAGATGGTGGGAGGACGAGCAGGAAGTCTCTGGGAGGGGGTGTCCCTGCTGCCCTGACATCAGCCAGTGCCGGGTGGCGTCACGGTCATGTGTCCACAGCCGATGGCCAGACCCCACCAATCAGAGCCTCAAAAGCAAGGCAGTGTTTTTAAAAGCCACGGTGTAGCCGGGCTCGGTGGCTCAGCCTGTCATCCCGCGCCTTTGGGAGGCTGAGGCGAGTGGATTGTCTGAGCCCGCGGGTTTGAGACCCGCCCGGGCAACTTGGCGAGACCTCATCTCTACAATAAATCAAAAAGTCAGCCGG